ACATGATTCACTAATTTTACAACTGCACAAGATTTATTCAAGACATAATTTCTGTGGTGCACGTCTACATGCTCGTCACCTATCGTGTGTGTCACCTTCAAACAATTTATATCATACCAAATTTTGGGGATTCATACCCTCCGGATCAAGTTTAGAAGTGTTACTTGCCTCAAACCGTATAATTTTTTATTTTGTTATGCCCTTGCCTCGCAAGTTGGTCTCCGAAAGCCTCGTATCTAACCATAATTAATTCGATTCAGTCAATACGAATTATAGGAATTAATTCCATAAGAAAATATAAATTTTCTATCAAAATCCGAATTTTCACCCAAAAATTGCTTGTGGGGACCACATCCCGGAACCCGACAAAAGTTACAAAATATGAACGCTCATCTAACTACGATTCCAACCATACAAATTTTACCAAATTACGACATCAACTCGGCCCTTAAATCTTCAATTAAAATCTATGAAGATTACTACCATTTGCAACCCAATCTTTACCCATTTGAACTCAACAATCTTTCCACAACCTTATTGGTATGTGTATGTATACACGATACTCTTACACCCAAGAATCATACTCTTAATCTCCTATCTTTTACCCCAAAAATCAAAATTGAAGAATTGGGGGAAGAAATTCTTACCTCTTTGAAGCCCTAGCAAGATCCTTGTGAAATCTTCAAGTCTTGAACAAGAATTGATAAACAATTGACTAAGTCTTAACTTTATCTCTCTAAGATCTCTCACCACTCTCTAAAATATCAGATTTTTGCTCCAAAAGAGCCCCCTTGCCTCTATATATCGAAATAGGGTCGGGTCAAAAATTAAAAAAATTGAAGCTCCGACACAGATCTGCGGTCGCATATGCGACCGCATAATGCTTATGCGGCCCGCATAATGGGTCGCAAAAAGGCCCTCTAGAACTGAGCAACATTGTTTCAGTATGCATTGTTATGCGGTCCGCAAACCTGTTCTGCTGTCGCATAATGCACCGCAGAACTTGTCTGCGATCGCATAATGCGCCGCTAACCTGATCTCCAAACTTGCCTCACCTGCTTCACTCTGCGGCCATTATACGGTCCGCAGAGTGATTCTGCGGTCGCATAATGAACCGCAGAAACGTATTTATCTGTCACAATTTTTTTCTTTACTCCACAGTGCATTATTCAACTCAAAAAGTCCGAGCCGCGGTTTATAACCTTTATACTAATTGATCTACCTCAGCACCACAAAACCTTAATTTCCTTAGCAAAAATTCTCCTGGGTCGTTACACATAATTTAACATTTTCAACTTAAGTTCTAAACCTTGGAACTAAGTGTTCCAAATCATTCAAAAACCTTACCGGGCCCGAACCAATTACCCCGGCAAGTCAAATAACAACCGTAAATCATAAATTAAGCAGTAAATGGGAAAATGGGGTTGTAATACTCAAAATGACAGGCCGGGTCATTACAAAAAGAAAGAAAATAGAGTAAGAACAAAGCCTAAACGTTGAGCATAACGAACATAAGCGTCGAAAAACTTACTCTGAGAGCGAGACCGGCTATGCTCCTCGATAAGGTAGCATCTTTCAGCTCTTGGAGAGTTCGACTCTCCATATCGAAACAAAGGGGACCGAGGGCAGAAACCACGTTCTTAGTTTCTTTTAATAAATGCCGATCCATGGGGATCGCAATAGTCTGTGTGGACCCCTCCTGTCTCACTTCCAGCTGAGTAAATCCCTCCTCCATCATCCTCATCTCGTCAGCATCATGATCAGAACCCGTCTTGTAGCCATCCTCGGCAATGCCTTTGCCTCTCTCCTAAGCCAACAAAGAAGCATCATTAGGCGGCTACGAATTTGACGGTCCCTCCTGCCGTAAATTATCAGAAGCCACAACGACTGGCCCTTCGGTTCCTACCGTCGATATCGAAACATCAGATGTCAGCTCGACGTCATCCTAGAGTTTTATGGTCGCCGTTTCACGGATGACAAAATCATCTCGTGCTGAATCCACAGCCCGGGCGACCTTATCACTAACGTCCACCGATCTCCTCCTACGGGGAACCAAATTCCCCCCGCTCAGCGACTCCTCCTCCTCCTCGTCCACTAGACGGTACAAAGGGGAAGCCGGAAGATCCACTGTCGAAATATCCGCAGGCGGAGAAGAAACCGATGCTAAGGAAGTAGTAGATGGGGCAGGCGACCAAGTAGAACTGGCTGCGGTTGAGGAAGTAACAAAGGCAGATGATCGAGCAGGTCTAGCCACGGCCACAACAGAATATCGAAGAGGAGGCAACCTTCCTCTTACAAAACATAGGAGGAGGAGCCCTCGGCCTCCACGAAGATCCTCTGGCTAAAAAAAAAAACCAAAGCAAGGTTCTTATCACCACCAAGAGAAAACTACGATAAGTAGGTGACCATGAGGCCAAAATAATAAAACATTTATAGAAAAACTCACCGGCCAATGAAGGAGTAGGACCGAACTTCTTGGAAAAGCCCGACCACTCACGAATTCCCATGATGTGAGGCAGAATCCGGCCAACCCAGTCAGAAATGTCCCCGACCAAAGGAGGGGGCGTAGTCGTGGCTGCACAAAGAAGTGATAAAAGTTTAGAGCCTACGACTAAAGCAGATAGATCAAATGTTTTAACAAGAGAAGAATAGACACTTACGAGTGTAGTTCCAAGTCTCGGGGATGCCGTCCGCATTGTCCACCACGTCTTCGGTTCTGACAAAGAAGAAGTTATGCCAGAACCGACGATTTGCCTTGTCGTCCATCTTCACCACCAGGCATTTGCCTCCCCGATGGCGAAGGTTCAACATTGTCCCTTTATAAAAATTAGGGGCGAAGACATGCATCAGATGCCAGAGTATGATCTCGACCTAGGCTAATTCCGCGAATTTAGTAAGCATCCTGATGAGCTTGTAGATATATGGGGCGAGTTGAGCTGGGCACACGCTATACTAGCGACAGAATTCCTCCGCTAATGGAAGAAGAGGAAGAGCGTAGCCGACCTTGAAGGGATATTCATAAAACGCGCAATACTCGGGGCGGTGGACTTGTACTACCTCACGCCTTACTGGGACCAAATCGATGCGGGCAGGAACGTTGCATTTTGCCCTAAGCTCTGCTAGGTCGGCCCCTTTCATAGCCGGCTCAGAAACCTCGGGCTCGTCTTCAGGCGCCTTCGAAAAATTAGAACTAACTTTCTCGCTACGATAGGAATTATTTCCTCCAACGTAGGAAAGTTCTCATCTATAGAGATGCCATCAACGTGAGGAGGCATAAACCCCGCCAAAGAGACAGGGTCAATTCCCACACTGGAACTAGAGGATATATTAGCCAGATTTTCGATGAGAAAGAAGGATTAGAAGCAACGGGAAGCACTAAAACCAGGAAAAAAGACACACAACGAGGGAGAAGAGAGAAGAAATCTCAAGGTTTGATGAGGAAAACACGTAAAGAACAAATGAATGCCATCACATCTCTATTTATATTACTAGGGATGTGTCTCATATAAAGAAGACAAAAGATAAGGACAGGGGATATGTAATATTGATATGATAATAACATTTTTCTAAGAAAAATTCTCTCTCTAGCAAAGATACAAACATTACCTTTTCATCAAGATTCTTATTCATATTATTCCATACTTTTCTATCAGATCCGAGAATAGTTTGAACATTCTAGGATTTATCTGTCACTCATCATTCTTAGGAGGAACAATCATCTAGTCCATTCTTTATTGGGTGAATCACTCCTCCTATTTACTTAAATACTATTTATTGCTAATTATTGCTAGTTACTCCTCCATTATTGCTCATACTTTATGAATATTTAGTGCATGTTATTGTCAATCTCCTATTAGATCTGTCCCACATTATCCACGCTTTCAGGATTCACATTTAAAGATATTATCATTAACTAGGTTTAACCCATCATTATATAAATATAATAGTTTTAATCGAAAGTTATACTTTTTGGTCAAACAATCATGTTTTGGAAAAAAAATAATTCAAAATTTTCAAGTTTCCAAAAAATAGTTTAGGAAAGTTTTTGGATGAAATTTTTTCTTCCACTCACAAAACTTCAACTTTTCTTCAAATAAAATGCATGTCCATACACAACTTCAAACTTTCAAAAATTATTTTTTAACATAACTTTAAAATTCTTTTCTCAAATTTTAATTAAATCTATGTCCAAACAGTAGCTATTGATGTTTGTTTTTGTTGAACATGAGATGATGAGAGCTTGTCACATGTCCCACATTGGATTATATGAGGCAGACATGATAATATGCCCTCACACTCTTTGTATGAAATATCAAAAGATTTGCAAAATATGTACGAGCAGCATATATAACAACTCATGTACATCCTTGACATTGAATCTGTTCATCAACAGTTCTTCCTCAGAAAACTTGTACTTTTGAAAATTGAAAAGAATGTAAGTCTTTTTTACTAACTTTAATTGTTGTAATACGTAACCATTTTATCTAAAAACGGTTAGAAAGAGCAGAAAGAACATATTTTTATGTACTTATATAGTATGTCTTATTGTGCTTAATAAGCCAAGCATGTGAATTTTTTTCCGATAATTGATGGAGGTGAGACTCAAATTCGTAACCTTTATCTATTTTAATACCATATTAAAGTTGGTGATGATCACCTTATTTAAAAATTTAAGATATTTAAAAGAGCGCAATTCTTATGTACTTATTTATTTCTGAAACAATAACATACCCAATATATGATCGTACATAATGAAATTTATAAGAATAATATATATGCAGATCTTACCCTAATTATTTCAGAAACATTATTATAACGGTAACAATATACAACGACACAAATGATAGGAAACTGACCTCCCACAAGGATATAAAATTGATTCTGCAAAAGACATATATTCCTCCACTAACAAATGATAAACTACTATAGTCAATATAAAAAGAAATTGTTATTTAATATTAAACAGTACATTCACACACACTCTCTCATTCTCTATACACAGTACAGCCATATACATACACAAAAAGCTAGCACATAGAACTGTCCACAAACCATCTCAAACATTCCTTTTTCTGTTTTTAAAACCACTTGCTCAAAAACCTGCTGATTTTTCTTTTTGCATAAAATACTTTCTGCTTGTTGCTCCTCTCCTTCTTAATCAATGGATACTGCTCAATGGCCACAGGTATAGACTACAAATTTTAGAAATATATCCATCTGTTTTTTTTTAATTTTTTGGCCATTTCTTCATGTAGATTCTTTTTCATTGATCTCCATTTAATTTGGACTTTCTCTTGCTTACAAATTGAATTTGTGTACTTTTAGGAAGGTGATGGTTCTTCACTTTGCGTAACCTTTTTCTTTTCCCCTTTGTCTTTTACTTCTCCTGAATTCTATGTGATTGTGAAAAGGTTGAAAAAGAGAAAAAAGATCAAGTTTGTTAGTAACTTAATTTTAATTACTCCTCTTGATCTATATGCTCCTTTAATTTACTCATTTGAAATTCAATTCCTTTTTCATTCCTTTCATTTTGTTTCTTTTTTAGGAGATAGTGGTGAAACCTATGGAAGAGATAATACCAAAAAGTACAAATACAATTACTACAATATGCTCATCAAAACCTAGTACACATGTTGAAAGGAAAATTAGGCCTCATCAAAAGGACCAAGCATTGAACTGTCCAAGGTGTAATTCAACAAATACAAAGTTTTGTTACTACAACAACTATAGTCTTTCTCAACCAAGATATTTTTGCAAGACTTGTAAAAGATATTGGACTGAAGGTGGATCTCTTAGAAGCATTCCTGTTGGTGGGGGTTCAAGAAAATCCAAAAAATCATCATCTACTAATTCTTCTTCGTCAAATACTGTGTTGCGCGAACTTTCCAAAACTGTTGCTGAGTCAGTTTTGGATCCTCCTAATAATGAAGGGAGCCAAGATCTCAACTTGGGATTTTCATTTGATTTCAAGACTATCTCTGAGCTAATCCAAGTACCTAATAACTCCTTTATGCCAATGCCAATTTCTGATCCAAATTCAGTTTACTCATCACTAAATTTCTCTTTGGATCATGGTCTTGGAATTAGTGGTGACTATGAAAATAATCTTCAAGATGTGCAAGAGAGTACAACAAGTGGAAGACTTTTGTTTCCTTTTGAAGATCTAAAGCAAGTTTCAAACACAAGTATTGATGGTGCTGAGGAAAATAGAGATCAGCCTACTGGAGAATCAACTGGATATTGGAATGCATTTTTGGGAGAAAATGGAGGATCTTGGTAATTGAAAAAATAGTCTATAAAATTATTTATCATGGATTTTTTTTTTCTATCTTTGTGGGGTTTTCTTTTTTATTTTTGTGCTCTTTATTTAGTGTTTAATGGTGGGATAAATTTATTTCCTTGAAAAGCTAACTCATAGGATTAATGGGTTCTTTAATCTCCTAGATCTCTTTATTTTTCAATGTAGTTAATATCTTTAATTCAACTTTTGATCATGGTTGGGTGGGAGGTTTGAAGCTTATTTTAGATTGGCTTCACTACAGTGAACTGGTGGAGAAAATAACATATAACACATTATGTATATTGACCTAAGTTTGTATTGAGTTTGTGAGAATCATCATTTAAAGTTATGTTTATAGATAATGTTTCTTTTTTTTTTTAACTATTACGTTAAGTTAACCTACAACAACAACAGATAATGTGGATGTGTTACATTTTCAACATCTTGTGCTTTCACATGAGAAGCTTGGATAACATGATTTAATACTCTAAACTAGTTATGAAATTATTTGCATACAAATAACAACTGCGTGTCTATAAATACGTATGTTTGAGTCATTGTGTGCATAAATCACTAAAAAAAAATTTAAAATTAGCTACAAACTTCTTTATTGATCTGTCACTAAATTGTACGTAGCTAACAATTATTTTTGATAATTTATCGCTAATTTATTGCTAAATAGGATTAATAATGATATTTTTTTGTTTAGCTACAAAATTCATATTCCTATTTTTTTAGTTGTGAATATTCATCGTAAAAGATTAGTTTTTTTTCTCACGATAAAACCGTGAAAGAAGTATATGCAGCATGTTGTTTGCTATCTTTTTGAGACAGGAGAAAGTTAATTTCTTGTAAAATGTGATACAACAAATGTACATTTAAATGAAATTTTGCTTCTTCCTCGTTTCTTCTTTTTCACATTTCACACATTCAACTTTAATATATTCTTTTTTTGGTTTTCTATCTGATATTTGATAATCGTATTAAAAATTGGATTTGTGTAAATTTGTGTCCGTGTAAAATTCATTAAAATAAGTAAACGCACTCAATCAGACTTATTTTCATTTTAAAACTCAAACCCGAAACACTTAATTAAGAATAAAAAGTGAAATCATATTCATCTCACAACCATCCCTCAAAAAAAAAAAAAAAAAAAAAAAAAAAAAAAAAAAACCTTAGCATATTCAACACACTGAAGTATGAAAGGGAGCTAGATAATTATATTTTTCAATTGGTATAAATTTAGGAGGGAGGAGAAAGCACTGACAAAGTCTACTTTCTTGGTCAGAAAAGGGGGTACCCACAAACATTCCCCTTGGAACACATGCTGAAGAATAATCTCTCCCACTTACCACTACCCCAGATCTGCACCCTCCATTTCTTTATTCCAAATAATAGTATACTCCTAATAAACATCAATAATGATAATGATAATACTAATACTAATAATTAATTATTTGTAATCTGTCCATTCTATTTTGGGAAATTTAAGGCTGTTCAAAACAGAATTGAAACCTTTAACCGAACCGAACCGATGACTTATTGGTATCGGATTATCGGGATAATGGATGATGAACGGATTAAGATTTTATAATTAACGACTTAACGGTTTGGGTGCGGATTACTCAATTTTCTTATCGGGTAAACTGTTAACCCATTAAGAATTTTTATATTTATACTTTTACCCCTATGCATTTAAAATACTATTGAAACCCTAAATATATAGCTAAATCCCTAATTTCTACAGTAAGCTCATATTATAACACAGTAAAGTTAGGCGGAGCTGTAGTAAGATGGATGAATCTATTTTTCTTCATGTTTAGGATGCTCATCTGGATTTGGTACGGTGCAATGAACTGGAACTATGTTCTTTGCATAGATTAGCTCGCATCTGTTATGTCTTCCTTATCAGTAGTTCTTGTATGTACTAGATTGGAAGACGACTCTTCAAAAATATTGTCAGATTAACAAGACAGTCTTTTGAATTTGAATCCGATATTAGTCTGAAAGTATCGACATGTCACCTTACTATGGTCGTTTGGTATTGATTGTTCAAAAAATTTCTATTTGATTTAGCCGATAAACCGCCTGATAACCGTTAATCCGATATCAATCCGCCCATTATCTTATTGGATGGCTATCGGATTACTACATTTATAATCCGATAACTGTTAAGCCAAACCGTTAAGCATAATTATCCGCCCGATAAGCACCCCTAGGAAAACTACCAGCTATGTCCATTTATAAGTAACTTATTATAAAAATTGGCCAATTCATAAAATATTACTAATATTAGCCAAATATTACAAATATTAGTCAATTAGCTATTTATAGCAAAAAAAAGTCAAATTTTTATTTTCTTTTGAGTGAGTATTATTAGAATAGATTGGGTACATCTTAAGGAGTTTGCATCTCAGTTATGGGATGATTTGGTGGATTTTTGAAGTGATTTGAATTGAAAATGCGAAGTAGAAGATGAACATACAAAAATAATAATATGTGTATCAAATATGTATGACATGTGTATCCATGTATACCTCTATGTGTGTGAAACATGTGTCACAGAAAAAGAAATTGAACTCGATTTTAACTACGAATTTTGATACCAAATCAGTCCAAATCACCTCTAATCTTCCTCAAATTTTGTATATTGACTCATCTATATGTTTTCAATGAATGTCAACCATACCCATTGAAAAAGGTCCCTTTTTAGTTAGATTTTTGAAAACTTGTATATATATATATATATATATTTTTTTTGTATTTCATCACCTTGTTTGCTATGTCATCTATGAAATTTCCTTTCCGTATTGCATTTAATGTTGTTGATCTCGCTTAAAAATATGGAAGGAGATCTTTGCGTATTATTTTGGAGAGAAAGAATCTTATTTATTTGGATTTTTAATTTTTATATGTGTTTGGCTAGTTTGGTAAGTATATGATTAATGACCAGAGATTGGTAAGTTAGAACTTATTTGAGACATATACGTAAGATTCCCTTTTATTTTATAATACAATCCTTTAATATGTTCTGAAAAAAATGATGCTCACTGTTTACCCTAAAAATCGGATAACAATTGAATTTGTATGTGGTTTTAAAGATACGTGATATAATTTGATACAGAGTGATAAATCAGATCAATTATGAAAATAAAAGATAGAAAGGTAAATACAAACCACGCAAGTTTGAGCAACCTTAGCCTTGTGAGAATAATTTTCCCCGAGCTAGGAATAATATAACTGATAATATTATTGATGTTGAAGTGCAATGACAAAGATAGAAACGATAGTATATTGCCTTTTGATATCAGTTACAATGCGTTTTGTGAATTGTCAAGTCCCCCTTATATATTAGGGGAGATCTCCCCTTTAAGACATTATTTTATAAAAAATATAAGTCCTTGATTTTGTAGACCGTTGCCCCCCATTTTGACTTAATCCCATAATTTTTGCCATTATGATTGGTTAATGGCGAGAATCACGGATCCTTGTCGGACGGGTTGGCGAAGCTTTTCTTTGAGGACGTTAGAAGTAGGATCGGTCGTGCCTTCGGTAATCTCGAGCGCAAATCTGATGGTCTCGATGGCATGTTTTGACGATGCTTTTAGTTCCGACAATATCATATTTCGATCTTGGTTGACCATGCCGAACTGCGATATCGAGCTCGGCTTCATCCGTAACTTCGATTTCTTACATATGTGTCGATCCCGACCTACCGTTCCAGATGCTCGATCAAGCATCGAGCTAGGTTTTACCCGTATACAGAAGGTCCCCTCATTTTTGGGAGAGTAGGCGATAAAAAACGATGTGAACCCTTGGTTCTCACTTCAATAAATCATGACATAAGTAATAAAAGGTAACTGAAACGTCTCGTCGGTCCAATCTTCAAGGCATTAAATGTGTGTCAGTTGACGGTCGATTGCCTCGGGAGGTGAACCACCGCTTGAGAAACCTATTAATATCCTTCAATCTGTTCAATATAACTTTTACACTCAAATTCTTCTTGTGTTATAAGAAAACTTCACCACCTTCACCTTCTGGTTTTCTAACTGTTAAACTCAAAGCTTCCCTTACCAGCAATTTCTTTTCTTCATTCTCTATAAAAAATGGCAAAGACTTCAAAGTTTGTTCCTAAAAAAGAAACACCTTTTTCTTCAAATCCTTCTGAAAACGTTCCACATGCTGCTACTGAGAAACCTCCTCTGAAGTCGTATATCCCTGTTGGGTGCCCAACCGTGGCTGACTTCAAAGTTAAGAATACACCTATGGTACCGGGTCGGTGTGAGCCAGTCTCGAGGTACATATGTATGATTACAACCACTATCCTCGATAAAGTCAAAAAGGACTGCAACTGGGTAGATAAACCCGTAGTGGTTCCTACCCCCGAGGAATCGATCACTACCTATGTGAAGAGTTTCTTAAGTGTTTATAATTACTCTTTTACGCTGGGCCCTTTAGACCCGGTTATCATAGCCTTTTGTAAATGGTATGATGTGACGCTCGGGCAGATACATCCTTAATTTTGGAGGATCATCATTCTGCTTCGATTCTTTGTGAGCAAGGTCGAGGGGTGTCCATTCACCATCGATCATCTCATGCGTTTGTACAGCCCTCGGCTTTACCGAGGGGGATTGATCAAACTCGCACGCCGAGCCACTAAGACATTGTTCTCGAGTATCGACGAGGATCGGGACCGGGGCTGGCTTGGTCAATTTGTTCGAGTGAGGGCCTCGGACTTAATCACGTCTGCAGACATGCCATTTCTAGAGAAATGGAACATGAAACGTAAGTATGATTTTGCCTTCAGTATTTTTTTTATTTCTTTTCATTCCGTTTATTTCTTATCGATGTTATGTGATGCAGTTGTCGCTCAAATGCTAGACGTCGTTCCTGAACTTAAAGAGTGGGTCGAGGGCATCGTGACACAGAGATCTTACTTTGAGCGCTTGTGGCGTGAGCTCTCGAAGGGCTGATGGGATGCCCGTAATCATGGTAAGATCGTTTCCCTAATAACATATTTGATCTTATTTTCTCATCATTGGCCTTTGATCCGTTATATTTTCTTTTTGTAGGTTTACCAAAAGATGTCGAAATGAGGTCTCCATCGGCTGATAGCGACATATATGCCGATCCCCCTGCTCCGAAGCAGGATAAAGAGAAGAAGAAACCCTGAAAAGAAAAGACGGAGGAAGCGACTGGCGCACAAAACTAAATATGCCAGTGCCCAGGAGCTCTCATCGGACTCACTCCTTCAGTTGAGGGATGAGTACAAAGAGGAAGAAGAAGATTCCAATCTGGTGGCCCGTGTGAGAAGTGGTTCTAAACTGCCTCAGACCATGGAGGTCGTAGAAGAAGT